AAAGGCCAGGCACAATGGCTTATGCTTGTAATCCCAGCACTCTGGCGAACATGGTGAAACCTCGTCTCTACTAAAAATACAAAAATTAGCTGGGTGTGGTGGTGCATGCCTGTAGTCCCAGCTACATGGGAGTCTGAGGAAGAGAATCACTTGAACCCGGGAGGGAGAGGTTGCAGTGAGCTGAGATTGTGCCACACTGCACTCCAATGTGGGCGACAGAGTGAGACTCTGTCTCAAAAAAAAAAAATGGTGGGAGCATATTAACAATTCTCCCCTGCCACAAGGTACAATTATGATCTTTACTATGTTTCTAATTGCTTCTCTATCATCTTCTAAGATGCCAACGTCCGGCGGTACCTCCAGCTAACACAGTCAGAACTCAGCAGCTACCATAGAAAAGAGAAGCAACTCTACCTGGGCATGTTTGGTTAACAAAGAAGAAAGATGCTCCTCCACTTGAACTTAGGTGGGCCATTAAACATGCATCAAGGAGAAACCTGAGCCTCAGCAAGAGAAATTTACCCTATACCTCTGACCCAGGTGGATTTCTGTTTCTAGTTTTGCACAAACTTCACTACGTAGACAGTCTGAGTCCTTTTCTGTCTGTCCATCTGTATATTTCTGTAGCTTTCGATACATGTTATTGTTGGGGCTGTTTGCCTTGAGAAATACAATCAGAAAACATCAGCTGTGGGTGGAATTAATTATATTTCTGGCATAGATTTTTCATGATAATGTTGTTAGATGTATTCATATATAGAGGCGAGGACTTGCAGAGGATGACATAGTAAGGATAGGCAGAAAGAAGTGTCTATTTTTTTCAGAAGCCCAAACCAAAGTAGGAAATATGGCTGGTCGTGGTGGCTTGTGCCTGTAATCCCAGCACACTGGGAGGCCAAGGTGGGCAGATACCTTGACTCCAGGAGTTCAAGACCAGCCAGGGCAACACAGTGAAACCCTGTCTCTACAAAAGATACAAAGATTATTAGGGCCTGGTGATATGCACCTGTAGTCCCAGCTATTCTGGAGGCTGAGGTGGGAGGATTGCTTGAGTTCTGGGGGGCAGAGGTTGCAGTGAGCTGAGATCCTGCCACTGCACTCCAGCCTGGGCAACAGAGTGACATGCTCTCAAATTAATAAGCCCAAACATATTAAAGTAACTTTTTGTGTGTGTGTGTGACAGAGTCTCACTCTGTTGCCCAGGGTGGAGTGCAGTCATGCCGTCTCGGCTCACTGCAGCCTCTGCCTCCCAGGTTCAAGTGCTTCTTGTGCCTGAGCCACCCAAGTAGCTGGGATATAGGAATGCGCCACCATGCCCAGCTAATTTTTTTGTATTTCTCTTTTAGTAGAGACATGGTTTTGCCATGATGGCCAGGCTGGTCTTGAATTCCTGGTCTCAAACGATCTGCCCACCTTGGGCTCCCAAAGTGCTGGGATTACAGGTATGACCCACTGTGCTGGCCGAAGATAACCATTTTGCTTAAATTATTTTTTTCTTTTTCTCTTTTTTTTAAATCTTAAGTTCCAGGGTACATGTGCAGGATATGGAGGTTTTGTTACATAGGGAAACGTGTGCCATGGTGGTTTGCTGCATCTGTCAACTCATCACCTAGGTATTAAATCCAGCATGCATTAGCTATTTTTCCTCATGTTCTCCCTCCCCTACCACCCCTCCTTAAATTAATTTCTTATCCTCCTTAATATTCCACATACATTCAGATTTCTTCTCCCCTAAGAAAATATTTGCTTTCGCCGGAACTTTGGGAGGCTGAGGTGGGTGGATCACGAGGTTAAGAGATCAAGACCATCCTGGTCAATATGGTGAAACCCTGTCTCTACTAAAAATACAAAAATTAGCCGGGCATGGGGGTGCACACTTGTAGTTCCAGCTACTCGGGAGGCTGAGGCAGAAGAATTGCTTGAACCCAGGAGGCAGAGGTTGTGGTGAGTTGAGATCACGCCATTGCACTCCAGCCTGGGTAATAAGAGTGAAATGCCATCTCAAAAAAAAAAAACTTTTGTTTTCTATTTTTTTCCTTGCTATTGCTTGTACCTAGATCATTAATATATTTATTTATTTTTTCATTAAAGTATTTTAAAACCTTTGGAGTCAAACATTTAAGTATATATTTAATAAACCCTCAGACTTCATGCCAAATAAAACACCTAAGTGAACATTTCAATTTTTAATAGGTGCATATCTGTAGTATGCTCATTTCTCTAAAAAAATAAATAAATAAATAGGGCCAGGCACGGTGGCTCACGCCTGTAATCCCAGCACTTTGGGAGGCCAAAGCAGGTGGATCACGAGGTCAAGAGATTGAGGCCATCTTGGTCAACATGCTGAAACCCCGTCTCTATTAAAAATACAAAAAATTGGCCGGGCGCGGTGGCTCAAGCCTGTAATCCCAGCACTTTGGGAGGCCGAGGCGGGTGGATCACAAGGTCAAGAGATC